CCCTGTCCCTCTCTCCCACTCCTGCTCACCGTCCCTCTCTCCCTCCTGCTCCCTGTCCCTCTCTCTCCCTCCTGCTCCCTGTCCCTCTCTCTCCCGCTCCCTGTCCCTCTCTCGCTCCTGCTCACTGTCCCTGTCCCTCTCTCTCTCCCACTCCTGCTCCCAGTCCCTCTCTCTCTCTCCCACTCCTGCTCCCAGTCCCTCTCTCTCCCTCCTGCTCCCTGTCCCTCTCTCTCCCTCCTGCTCCCTGTCCCTCTCTCTCCCGCTCCCTGTCCCTCTCTCTCTCTCTCTCCCTCCTGCTCCCTGTCCCTCTCTCTCTCCTGCTCCCTCTGCCGCTCCCTCCAGCCCCCGGCTCAGCATAAAGCCCCCCCCACACTGCCCTCAGCAGCATGAAGCCTCAGAAGCTAAGCGATTTTAATTAGAGGGGCTGAGAGAGGGATTCGATTGTCTCGTCCACTGACTCCTTGGCTTGCTTGTCACTGGGCCTCTTATTGAGGGCTCAGTGTAGCATGATTTTGGGGTGGGTTGGGGGGGGGATGTGTGGGCCTTGCCAGCCTGAGTGGCCTTTACTGGGCTCCAATTAAGGAGCCTTTTCAGAACCACCCCAGGGATGAAATAATGGGGCCCTTATGCTGTAACCAAGGGGGAGGCTGGGTGGTCGTCAGGCCGAGTGCTCAGGGGCTTGGAGGACCAGGCTACCAGGCCCCTTCCAGAAGGTTCCCTCGTTCAGGACGGGGAAACAGCTACAGCTAAAATGGTTAATATGACACCCTCAGTACGGAAAATATGGCAGCAATAAATATCAGCCATGCCAAATGAGTGAGCTCCGTTTACGAAACTCTAAGATAATTCCAGCTGCCTAATAATAAACATACAGATGTGGGGGGTGTGCATCTCGGACCGGGACAAATCCAGAAGACCATACGGATTTACCGTCTCTGCCACTCATCCCCATCAGTGTACAGGACTGCGTTTCACTTCGCCTCCCCCCACTGCAGCCCTTCCATGACATCACCCTGATTCTGATTATCATTTATTGTATCCACGTTGTGCCCCACCTTCTGAGGGCCTGAATGCCTCTACTGCTTCTTCATTGTCCCATGTCACATGACTCGGTTCTCTGTCCCACCCGGAACCGGCCTGACATTATAATGCAACACCAGCAGTGTGGATGTTTACATTGTGCTGCTTAGCGGATCCCTTTGTAAGTTTCACACCCAGATGTTTCACTCTTCCATTTCCAGCGATGTGCCTTCCGCCAGTTCCCATTCTGGAACCATCTGGATACACGTCCTTGTGGATAATAGCTACTCTCCCAGCCACCGCAATGTCCCGCAAAGCCCACTCGGCCTACTAAAATGTCTTGTCTCAATTAGCACTCTTACCATTTCGGGGAGGGGAAGGAAGAGGATCGTGGATGCCTCTCTCCAGGGGGAGGTCGAGCTCCTCACAGAGCGTCATGTTTTTCCCCTGAAAACTGTGACAGTCTTGGGGAGAGAAGAACAGGACAATGGCAGGGTCACTAAGACGGAATCACTAGCGGATGCTGATATTTTCACATTAGCTGCCAAAGAAAACAGTACCTTGGGCTAATGAGTCCTTCTTGGCAACATCGTGCGTTCTAGAGACAACGAAGCAGTGGAAATCAGTGGCTGGTGATGGTCTCGTGACAATGACAGTGGCGTGAACCATTAGCCAATGCTGCAGCGTCACCGTACCTTCTTTTCCAGCGGAGTCCAGCCAGCAGGCAACACGCACACAAAACCAACGACAACGGTATGCCTACAGCTACCCACACGGTGAGTGCAGGACCTGTGAGGCGGCAGAAGAGCAAACAATATCAATCAACAGAGCAAAGAATAAATAAATGACAAACAATAACTCAGTCCACGATTGGCTGGTTAGGCAGCCAATTAGGAAGAATTGCAGTTTCATCAAAGACAATTTCCTCTGTGAGGTTTGTTTTAGTCAACAGCCTTCTAAAGATGATGAGATTGTGCTGAGCTGTTGGGCTCTGGGCTTCCTTGGGATAGGAGTTCTCAAGCTACATCCCCCCCCCACCTTAGCCCCCCCATTAGTGTATGTACATGTATGCCCTGTGAATGACTGGCATCCCATGTACGGTGTCCCCAGGTCTGTGATACTTGGAAGGGGCTCAATGCCGGACATGCGCTACTGCAAACTCGACCAACATTCTCACAATATTTTTTTTATAGTGCAGGAGCTACAATGCATGTTACTCATCAGGATACACACCTTTTACTATCTCTTTGATCTCCGCCTCATTTAAGACAGGATGCTTGTCAGTTGTTGGAGTGGGGGCCATTGTTTTGGGTGTATTGGCTGCAGGAGAGGATCAGGATATTGCATTGCCTCACACATTCAACTGAGATTACTCAACAATCACAGTTTCCCCCTCATCCCGTTTTTTGAGATCTAAGTAAGGACTAGGGCTATTACGCAAAGCAAAAAAATAAATTTAAGATGTGTTACTTTGAAACTGTTTCCAAAGAATTTAAAAACCATCAAAATTACTTATTAAAGCCTAAATTAAATATCATGATTATGAGTGGTAACTTCTGCTTTGCTCAGTTGCACAGAAACATTGTAACATCATAGCCTATTAGTTACTTTTTCCAAGTACAGTATTGCTTCAACATGTCAAAAGTCAAAAACATCTCTCTAAGCAAATGTTTAATAATTTCAAATGCCAGACGTTGACCCTGGATGGTGGGTGATGTAATGCTCGTTATGTGCCCAGAGCTACACGTTATCCTTATAAAATAGGCTTGAACTGATGAGTTCTAACACATGAGTATACATGCATGAAGTGTACTCATTTACCAAAAACATTTGGCAGTAATTAAGGAAATGAATTCCTTCAGAGACTAGCCTGTATCAACAAGACTTCATTTACTCAAGACTTTATAAGTCTCTTAATCTCTCTAAAATAGCTTTCTGCTTTGTGGTGTATTATTGGTTTTGTTTGCATTCATGAGGTGAGGCAACTATGTGTGAAAAGTTAAGTAACTGGCGTTTCGTAATATTGGTTTTGCAGTCATAAGTCAATAAGGAAACTTCTTTATGTAGTATACACACACTAAAGCCGTCTTCCTAGAAGACCAACACGGATCGGTATACAGAATGGGCAAAGCATCAGATAACAGCACTATGGCTCAGTAGTATTAGATTGCAAGTTACAGTAAGTGACGTTCTAGACCATCACTGGCTGGAAGGTCAGTAAGATTAAAGCTGTGGCAGAGATTCTTGTGTTATGGCTAACAGAGACTTCATAGATATTACGAGCACCACTTATCTATCAGTCCTCACATTAGACAGCTGAGTTGGTGGCAACACGGCTGGCTACATTTACAAATTGAAATTTGTAAAATAATTGCCTACCAGGGGTATTTTTAGAAAAGAATAATGTTCAGCCATCAGTTTTGGATGGAGGAGTTGATAAAGTACTGTTCACTGAATAATTCTACATGCAAAACACGGTAATGAATCAGAGCTCAACAAAGGACTGTTTATTGAATTTTAATTTCATTTGAATTTCAAATGAAACTGTGAGAGTCATAGAAGAGACCCCGCATTTTGAACAAAGATTCTTAGAGTTTTGATGTTTCAAATTTACTAAAACCACCCAAGAAATATTCTCATGCAGAGCTTCCAGTGAGCAAATGTTGCCCGAATCCCCGAGGACGGCCAAGATACATGTCAGGGCAGGCCATCTCAGAGCCTCATGCACAGACTGCAGCAAGGCCGAAAACCAAGCCTGGCCCTCGGGTAGCCTTACCCATGCGGGGCTGGACCGCAGGGCAGCCCAGGACCTGGATGTGCATCGCGGGCCTGACGTGCCACTCCTGAGGTCGCACCAGGATGTACTGAGCCACTACCGGGGGAATCAGGCTGTTCAGTACGTCCTGGAAACTGTCCGAATTTCCCTCAAACACCTGCATTGGATTCACCAGGGAGATACACATTTAGAACCTTCATCACAATACAACATGTCATCTGCATCGATATTTGCCAGTATGTAAATGTTACACATGGGCTGCACATTATAGTAATGTGCAGCCCATTCAACACAGGAGTAACAAAGTTGACACACAGGAAGTGATGTCACCTTCTTCTCCTTACTAACTGCTCCCTTGTATGTTCTCCAGGTCTTGCTGTCCTTGCTATACAGCAGAATGTAAGACTTCACATAGAAGGCGGAAGATCCCGAATGGAATCCTTTCGTTATAATTCCTGGAAGGGAACCAACGCCATTATTTTCTCAGCCAGGAGAAAAAGTGAAGAACACAACTGAGTTTGCAGAACAAGTTTTACGAACATTCTGAAATGAGCGATAAACGACTGACAGACCATAAGGTTCAGCTAGCGTTTTAACTCAGGAAACCCTCAGAAAGGGTAATGTGGCCCCTGATTGCTGAAAAACTCCCGCATCCCCTGACCTGTAACGCTGCTCTTGCTCTGGAGGTTCACCATCAGCCACGGGCTGCGGTCGTCGCCGCTCGCCACCCAAGGCGTGTCGTCATGCTCCGTGTCTCTGCTGCTGGTGAGCCACGCAATCCTGCGCCTCCCGCTGCCCCCTTCCTCCGAAACGGAGGACACGTTGAAGCTCGACACATTTAGGGGGCCGCCACAATCTGCCCGGAGATGGAGGGGAATGAGAGCCGGACAAAGTCGCCCCACACCGGACATGTTTCAGTGTCTGACGTTAAATCTTGAAAGTCCTCGTTTAAAGAGAGAGAATGCTCCTCAGAGGTCATATACAGCTCACCGCCATATTATTCTCTTGTTATTAAAAAGCGAGGCTCTTTGGATGGACTAAGGTGATACTGTGCCGTGAATTACTACCTTACCTCTTTGGAAAACCAGCTTCTTCTCTGACAGTGATCCCCTGCCAATAAAAGAAGCTGTTCAGCTGTTGTACAGAGACAAAATCAGGTTGCAATGGGCAGCAAAATATCTTGTATGATTCCCAATTTATCTCTCCTCAGGTTTTTATACATCTTTCTGGGTACGGTGGCAGCCCACATATAATAAGCACAGCATGTATGAGTCGCCTTGGCAGCTGTGCGGATTTCTTCAGCCATCGACTGTGACCTGGCATGACACTCACGTCTTGGAGAAGATGCCGTTGGCGAAGCTGGACTCGTAGAGCGTGATGCTGCGCTCCCGGGACACGGTGATGGGCCCCCCCAGGGCGTCTGACACAACGCCAGCATGGATGGCGGCTTTGCAGAGCACCGAGGTCTGCAGGGATGGGGGGGGGGGTCACTAATCGCCAGCTCAAGCCTTTACACATCATTCAACCTCAAAATAGTGTGCTTGAAAATAATCATATATTAAAGATTAATTAAGGTTTCAACCTCACAACCCACTGTTTTTAACCCATGTTCCATGATGCAAATCCAAAATCCATGCTGTGGTTTTACCGAATGGATGACAAGCACAAGGCAGGTCTGCACCACACTCACGTCTCTGTAGCCCTGAGCTGACCGGCCCCAAACGTCCCCGGTGACGTCCTTGCAGCCAGCTGGGCAGAAGGCACTGGAAGACAGGGCAGCCGTGATGCCTCCGGAGCCACGTTTACCGCAGCTTCTCAAATGACAGCCTCCCCGTTTGTCCCTCGGCCGTCACACGCGGGCACAACAGACCACCGTGGTCAGGCTTTTAAATGGCCAATGACTTCATGGAGACTTATGAAAAACGTGCTTAAAAATGACAGGGTAAACAATATATTTTTTTAAGCTGCAGCTGTCAGCGAGCCAACTGCCACATGGATAACTAGCACTGCTGCCACTCAGCCTTACAGCCCATTAAGTGTTCAGCGTGCTCACAGTCACAGTGAGCTGTGATGCGATGATCTCACAGGACAGCGATGTGGAGCATAAACATGAGTAGCGGCGGTTTTGAGGACGTCCGTCTTCATTAAATTCCACTACCCTTAAGAATAACTGCCAACGTGCCAAGCTGGCAGAGTTTAGGTTTGTCCCGAATGCTATGGGCGTGAGTTCCATTCTGCGTGTGAGCCCTGGGTTAGGAGGGCGTCCAGGCCGCTGTGTGAAGGACCTCCACGTACCTGAACTGGTCAGAAGAGTAATGAGTACCGCGCTCCATACAGGAAATCAGATCTGTAATAGGAACAGAGGAGGGGGTCATTTGGGCATCACTGGTGGTGTGATAATAACTCAGGGGGTTAATTTCGAAACAGGACCCTCCTCCCAAGCATGAGCAGGCAGTAGGGCTGGGCAATTAATCAAATTTTAATTTTAATTACAATTTTGGCTTCCAACAATTATCAAAACAATTGAGATAAAACGATTATCGCGACATAGTTCGTTTCGCAATTTTGCTTCCGTTTTGCAAATGCAACGCATCCCCTTTCCAACCCCTTATTATTTATTCCTCAGTTGAATTGTACTTAGAGTTCAAGGAAATCCACTGTTAGACTTTTTCAGAAGTTCAATACATGTATGTATTTCCAAAGTCAATGAGTAATCATGTTAAATCATCATGACCTCAATATTGACCAAAACAATCGTGATTATGATTTTTGCCATAATCAAGCAGCCCTAGCAGGCAATCTGTGGTATCTAGCTGAAGAAAACAGGCTATGTGGTAAGTAATGAGGGGGTCTGGGCAGGCGGTCACCCAAGCAAGGCAGAACACGCCTTGGGTTTGACTTGGGTAGCCACTGCCTGGAAGTGCACACTGTATGGCGCAATTCTGAAGTCTGGTCTGATGTTCTGGCTCTGAAGGTGGGGGGCTCTGTGGGTGGGGGGTAAACAAGAAAGGGAACAACAGGAAACCCAACGGATGCGAGCCACTTCAGTCTGACATCTCGAGGCGAGTGCGAGTCCCGGGCCAAGCATCCGCACATACGCACACACACACGCACGCACATACACACGCACGCGGCGCACACACACACACTTACACACACACACGCACGCAC